GCCTTCCAAAAATTGCTTAAGATTCTCCGCTACATGGACAAAGTACAGAGTACTTTAGGCCACAAACAGTAAATGTTACACAATACATTCTCCTATTACTCTGTGTTTTTGCAGTAAATGGTGGCCTGAATTTCATGATGAGGTTTGCTAATTTTTAATGATGAATTGGCCTATTAAATATGTACAGGTTCTATCATTTTACATGAATATTTAACAGAGTCCTACTCATTGAAAGAGTTACAGTTTTGTGAGGTACCAGGTAGACAGGTTAATAATGCCTTGAGCCTTTAACTAATGGGCTTCCTAATTTAAGGAAGAATACATCAGCAACATTAGCATCATTTAATAAGAAGGATTTTTTTAATGCACATGGCCAGAGGACCGTTTCAGAAAAATCAGAGTATTCTACCTTATTTGCTATTTCTGTAAGCCCATCATAGTGCAGGAATAAAATGACAAATGGACTTGGAGACACAAATTCATTTAAGAGTTTATTTTTCTCACTTTTAATTAATTATTTTTTTGTAAAGGTGGGGTTTCACCATGTTGCCCAGGCTGGTCTCGAACTCCTGGACTCTCACACAACCTGCCCGCCTTGGCCTTCCAAAGTTCTAGGCCACGCCTGGCCTGTTTTTGTTTGTACTTTTATTTTCAGTTTATTATTAAAAAAGAAGAAGAAGAAGAAGAAGAAGAAGAAGAAGAAGAAGAAGAAGAAATGCCTTGAGCCTTTTAACTAATGGGCTTCCTAATTTAAGGAAGAATACATCAGCAACATTAGCATCATTTAATAAGAAGGATTTTTTTAATGCACATGGCCAGAGGACCGTTTCAGAAAAATCAGAGTATTCACCTATTTGCTATTTCTCGTAAGCCCATCATAGTGCAGGAATAAATGACAAATGGACTGGGAGACACAAATTCATTTAAGAGTTTATTTTTCTTCACTTTTAATTAATTATTTTTAAAGGTGGGTTTCACCATGTTGCCCAGGCTGGTCTCGAACTCCTGACTTCACAACCTGTCTTACTTTGGCCTTCCAGGTAAAGTTCTAGGCCACGCCGGCCTGTTTTGTTTGTACTTTTATTTTCAGTTTATTATTAAAAAGAAGAAGAAGAAGAAGAAGAAGAAGAAGAAGAAGAAGAAGAAGAAGAAGAAGAAGAAGAAGAAGAAGAAGAAGAAGAAGAAGAAGAAGTGAAGAAGAAGAATAAGAAGAAGAAGAAGAAGAAGAAGAAGAAGAAGAAGAAGAAGAAGAAGAAGAAGAAGACGACTCCACTCTGCCTAAGAAAGCAGGATTAGGTTTTCATTGGCCTTAGGTTAAGTTTTACAAGTTATAGGAGAACAAAAATTAGAGGTTGGCAAGGTACAGGAAAGCTAAAACGCTTCAGCCAAGGACAAGAGTGTCTTTTTTTCTTATTTCCTTGGCTCAAGATCTTAAACTAAAATTAATACCAAAATAATCTGTTCTTTAGTGGAAACAAATCAAGAAACATTTTATTCCCTAAAAGAAAGTTTCTCAGAAAATAATGGAAGAATTACAGGATTCTTGTGGAAGAACTGTTGCTTCACGGACTAATTTCTATTCCCCGAACTATTTCCATTCTAATCTTCAGTAACATACATTCTTAAAACAGAGCATGAATTTCATTTGTTGTTTACCAAGCATTTAATGAATCTGATTGTATGTACATCCTACTAGACAATGTGGGAAACTAGAACTGGGAGGGGCAGGTGAGTGTACTAGGAAACCAGTGAGGCTTGAGCCTCAGGCCCCTTATTTGCACAGAACCTCTCAAGGCCTTGAACCTAATTTTATTTTTGTTAATTTTATATATTTTTGTTAATAATTTTATTTTTTCTTAAAGGGACCCCCAAATTGTATAAACTTCAGGTCCCACCAAGTCTAGATTCATTAGTTCCTTCCATCAAGAAACCAGTCTCCTGAGTATATCAGGGGCCTCTTCCTCTCTGGCATTCTCCATTGCCCTCCCAGCCCCGATCCCATATCATCTCTGACCCCCATGGTCCCTGCACTCTCTTAACTCCGTGCTTCTCCAGACACTGTGGGCACGAGATTCACCTGGGATGAGATTCACAAGGTGCAGAGGTGCAGGCCTTGTCACAATGCTCATGTAGATTTCAGGTAACGCCTACTAATCTGCACTTTAGAAAAAAGACTCTTAGTCAGGTGAGGTGGCTTATGGCTATAATCCCAGCCCTTTGGGAAGCCAAAGTAGGCAGATTGCTTGAGTCCAGGAGTTCAAGACCAGCCTGGGCAACATAGGGAGACCTTGTCTCTACAAAAAAATACAAAAATTAGCCAGGCATGATGGCATATGCCTGTAGTCCCAGCTAGCTGGGAAGCTGGAAGGCTAAGGTGGGAGGATCACCTGAGCTGGGGAGTTTGAGGCTGCAGTGAGCCGTATTCGCACCACTGTCCTCCAGTCTGGGTGACAGAGACCTTGTCTCAAAAAAGAAAAAAAAAAAAAAAAGACTCTCTAGTGATTGGACCTGGCCTTGGTATTTCTGTCTCAGGTTTTCCTGCCTTTCAATGAGCATTCAAGAGAGTTGCCAGAATAATATGCGCCTGGCACACTGTACAGGCATTCAGCAGATATTTGTTGGAAGAATGCAAATCATAATTACTCCCTTGCTCAGAATCATTGCCAGCTCCTCAATATCCACAGTATAAAATCCAAACTCCTTGGTGTGGTGGCCTCCAGCCAGCTCCAGTCCAGCCGCCCTGACATTTCTCCTTTACCCCCATGCTCCTGTGATGCTAAAACGCTCCCAAGCACCCCTTTATTCATGGCCTCTCATGCTTCTAGGCCTCCCAACCACCTGTCGCCTTTACCCATAAAGACTCTCCTCTGACCCCGGCCTGCACACAGTCCACACAAGTACCAGGTGAACAGCATTGCTTCCGGGGAGCTGGACCTGACCCCTCCCCATGCCCAGGCCTCCCTTCTCCAGGCAGAGTTAGCCAGTTCTACTTCTATACATCTCTGGTAGCTTCTAAGTATGTACACAAAAGCACTTCTGACACTGGGCTGTCATTGTGTCCTGGCCATGCCCCTCATATTGGGACATTCTGAAGAGCAAGATCCATATCTTTTCATCTGTATCTGGGCTCCTACAAACCATGCCTGACCCATAATAGATTATTGAATTTTTAAAATTAACAAAGGCACAGAGGAATTCAACTAGATAACAAATGACAAGACAACATCATCAAGTAGACAACTTCTGTATACATTGCTATTGCTCTTTCCCTTTTTCTTTTTTCTTTTTTAATAGACAGGTTCTCGTTCTGTCACCCAGACTAGAGTGTAGTGGCACAATCTCCGACCCCGGGCTCAAGCCATACTCCCACCTCAGCCTCCCAAGTAGCTGGAACTACAGGCACGCACCACCATACCTGGCTAATTTTTGTATTCTTTTAGTAGAGATGGGGTTTTGCCATGTTATCCAAGCTGGTCTCAAACTCCTAGGCTCAAGTAATCCTCCTGCCTTGGCCCAAAGTGCTGGGACTATAGGCATGAGCGCCTACAGCGCCTGGCAGCTATTTTTCAAATTATCAGATAATACGGAGTGCCTACATGTATGATGATTTATACTAGGTTCAGCGCAAAGGTTTATCCTAAAGAACAATGTTTATCAACAAATTAAGGGCTGGGCACAGTGACTTATGCCTGTAATCCAAGCACTTTGGGAGGCTGAGGCGGGTGGATCACCTGAGGTCAGGAGTTCAAGACTGGCCTGGCCAACATGGAGAAATCCCATCTCTACTAAAAGTACAAAAATTAGCCAAGTGTGGTGACATGTGCCTGTAGTCTCAGCTACCCTAGAGGCTGAGGCAGGAGAATCACACAAACCTGGGAGGTGGAGGTTGCAGTAAGCCGAGATTGTGCCACTGAACACCAACCTGGGTGACACAGTGAGACTCTGTCTCAACAAAAAAAAAAAAAAAAAAAAAAGGCACATTTTACTCACACAAAAGGAAGTAAGGTCATTCAGGGGAGCAAAGAATTGAGAGGGTGTTTAAGAGCCTTTCCTCTCAGAGTTAACTACTTGGGATCTCTAAATTAGAATTGTCACCCCAGCTCTACAGATGCTGGAGTTACAAGTTTTGTGTTCTAATGCCAGCCACCATTTATCTGCTAGGCAAAGTGTATAACACCTCTGAGCTTCATTTTCCTTATAAAAAGGAGACAGTAACACAAATTTCACAGGGTTATTGTAAAGATCAAATAAAGTAATTTATCTCAGATATTTATTTAGCTTAATGCCTAGCACCCAGTAAACACCCAATAAATGGTATTTGTCACTGTTACTTCCACTACTTGGAAAGTTTAGCTTACCCCTCAGGCTTAATATGATGGCTAATGCTTCTTATTATAAAGCAACACCCAGCTATATGTATATTACATACAAAGTTCAAGGTTTCTACTGGGTTCTGATGCAGTTTTCCCTTAAGACCACAAAAGTGTGTCCTTGAAAAGGGTGGAAATTTCTGGCTCCAACCCCATAAAAGAGCATGTGCATGCCCTGGGAGAGAACTCGGGCCACAGCATGGTATGTCTCCAGGGGCAGATTGCCTGTGTCCTCTTGGTCTGCACTTTGGGGCATGGGGCTTCTAAAAGTCTCAAATCTTTGAGAGCACTGCTGAGTGATAGAGAAGTGGAAAATGGCTTTATCTTTCTCCTTTATCTTTGCTTCCCTCAGTTATCTCTGTGCTATGATTACATATTCCAACCTCAGACTTGCTACAATTTTGAGTTTTGACTGTTTGCTTTGGGGCCCAAGCATTAATGGGTGAGAGCAACGTGCCCCCCCAAGGCCGAGGCCAGCGCGTTGATGGCACAAGCAATGAGTGATGGCAGCAGCAATGAATGAACGACTCGACCTTGGCAGATCTGAGTTGGCTCTGGCTACAGCAGAGTTACCTTAGCACCACGAGCAGCAAATCTGAGCACGATGCACAAAAGCAATGGGTCACTTACCTCCTCAAAAGCATCACAGCCGGTCACCACGATATTTGGCCTGAAATTCTCCATTTTCATTTTCTTCTCTATCCTGGTATTCAGATCTACCAGGGAGGCATCTGTCATGATCAGGAGCGGGCTGCAGTCTGGGTAGGCCACCTTGCCAAGAACACAGGATAGTCAGGCCCCACCACTCCACAAAATGGCCTAGACCAACTGCAAAGCTAAGTAATGTCCAGAAGCAAAGTCACTTCAGTGCAGAAGAGGGGAGCGGTGTTCAGGAAGGAGAGAGACGTGACTTTGGGCTTGCAAGTGGCCAGGAACTGGAGCAGTCCGTGTCCATACACAGGAACAGGGCTGCAGCCAGGGCCAGCTCTGGGCCAATGTCACCCACCACGCTTCCTCTTCCTGGGTTCCCACTCCCACTCCAGCAGCAACCCCCTTCCCACATCATCCTCAAACAGCGAGGACCTACTGCCAATCAGCTATACTCCAGTAATAATTTCCTAAACAGCACCATTCACTCACTAGGCATTTACTGAGCACCTACCAGGCACTGTTCTAGTGGGGAAACAGCAGTAAAGAAAGCAGATAAAAACCCCTGTCCTCAAGGAACTTGTAGTTTAGAGGCTACTGAGAGAAACTCCCTGAGGTCCTTGTATTTTAAACCTTAGCTCATGGCAGAATCAGAGGCTTTGGTCTTTGGCTCAGGGGACAGTTTTGCTTACGGGGAGGCGCCTTGCCAGCACCTGAAATAAGCACACCTCACACATTGTGAGGGGCAAGTCAGAACAAAGCCTGCTTCTGTAATTCCAGGAAACTTGGATTTAGTCCCGAACAAACTTCTCACTTTTGTTTCTCCAGCCAGTTTTCTCTTGCATCTCCATCTACCTGGGAGTCACCCCGGCTCCCCGCTCCACACCTCCCATATTCAATCCTCCATATACCCTAGAGATCCCACTTTTGAGATATCTCTCATATCTACCTTCTTTTCCATCCCTCGGTACCTCTGCCCAGGCTGTGCCCTCATTATCACTCACCAAGGCCATTATCATATTTTCTTAACTGAGGTCCCAAGAGAGGCTCTTTGCTGACCATGAAGGAAGTCAGAAAGAGAAGGGTGACTAGTAGGAGTGAAGGTAAACTCTCTGTAAGCTCACCTGGTAATTCTGATCAAGAGTAGGGAGAAGTTTTCTTGATGTTCTTCCCTTCATGTTTGTCTCAAATTGAACCAATCTATACACTTCTGTTTTCAAGAAGTTGGTGAACCACTGAGCTGCCTCATTGCCACAGTCTCTGCCTTTAATGTCAAGGCCAAATACCCTGGAAAGGTCACAAAAAAACACCAGGTGACTTACTTATTTTCAATACACTGAGGGATGGTGTCAAAAATGAACGGCTGGACTGTTGGGACTTGACCAGCCCAGAGGGCTGTTAAGCGGTCCTGGGGTCAAAGCTGGGCAGAAGCACAGGAGAAAGGAGTAGAATGTGCTCTGGGGAAGAGCTACCCAAACCTTAATGTATGTGCAAAGCCTCCAGGATCTTGTTTGGATGCAGATTCTGGTTCAGTAAGTCTGGGTTGGAGTCTGAGATTCTACATTCCCAACAAGCTTCTGGATGCCTAAGCTGCAGTGTCCATGAACACAAGGATTTAGGACACTTTCACAAGAGGAGAGGGGCTGTCCTGTGGCAGATGCACCCTGAGCTTAGAATCCAACAGACCTGGGTCAAATTGGAACTCGGCCATTCTCTAGTTCTGTGACCATAAGCAAATCATTTAACTCTTCTGACCTGTCTCCAGTTGTAAATTGGAGATAATTATATGGTACCTACCTATGCCACTTGGTGGCAACAGATAACTTTACATAACACAGTGGCCCTCAAGGTTTTCTTGCTTAAATTCCCCAAAGGAGTTTAAAAAAGCTATGGACCCTTCACAGAACTATAAGTTGACAGGTAAACTTTTTCATCATAAGTTTAATTTGTTCTGAACGGTATCATTTCCACTGAATTTTAAACATTGACATTTAAAATAAAATGATTACAGTATGCTTTTAAAGGTATGTAATGAGATCTAAAGGCCATGTTGGTTTGATATCCACCATTGTCCATTTAAACATTTTTGTGTTATTCCTCTTTTTATTCATGAACACATATGCATATTATTTTACTTATGTAACTTTATCCTAATATATTTTTACGGCTATCGATCACTTACTGTATTTCTTTTGAACCAATTAAATTTGCTTTGTTTCTTAAGCTTACAAGTACGAAGAAATGTTTTCAGGATTGAGTTATCATTATAATTATGATTTATATATCATAACAAAATAGATATGCTATATATTTTGATAATTACTGAACATTAAAAATCAGATTTTATTGGAAATTAAATGCTTAATGAACCCTATAGAGCATCCATAAAAAACTCTGAATGAATCTCACATATTGCTAGAATAAGACAAGGTTCAGTATTAATTTTAAATCTTTCTTTTAAATAAGCCCTGAGGAATTTTTCACACAAATAAAGAGACAGAAATGGGAGTTATAGTAATTTCACTTATTCCTTGAACCTCTAGGCAATATATGTCACATAGCAATTTGTCATCAACAAGTATTTTTCATGATTTATCAGCAACAATTTGATTGGAGGCCTCTTCATTTTAAGGTAAGACAAAGAGTTGGAACCAGTGATTTGTACAACAATTTTACCCTGTCATTAACATCACCCTCTTTATCAACACCAGAATTTTTCATTGTTTGGGACCCTGTATGATTTTCCCTCCACGGGCAATGCCCCTAGTAAGATGTGGGGTGGACAGACAAAAGCCTTTCCTCTGTACAAAGAGGAAAGGTTTATGGTGAGGCAGAAGAACTTGCCGACTGTAGATATGATTCACAGGATCTGGAAATGGATTCCCCTACCCTTATCTACCATGGGAAGGGCTTGCCCCTCCCCGTGGGAAGGCTCACACCAGTGTGAGGACCCCTGAGGCAATTGCACATGAAGGAATTCAATGTGGACACCTGAGGTGCTCCCAGTTAGATGAACCCCTGTGTACCCTGCAACTCACAATCCTGGTCTGAGGGTAGAGACTTCCTACCCTCTTACCTCCTCTCCCATCTACTGTCAAATCTCAATGCTGCTCCTTTCACATTGCTTGGGCCTAGTCCTTCTCTCTAAACTCCCTTCTTGAAGCCACTGTTTCACCTCTGATTAATTCTTGGCTCTACGGACATCTCATGATCCTCTCCTGGCCTTCTGTCTTTCCCCTAAAACTGATTCCATCCCACTGTTCAGCAGTTCCCTAAGTATATGTTCCTCAATGGAGCTCTTCCCTTATCCCCTCAGAACAGCACTTGTACGTAAGTGCACACGTATTACCCACAGCATCCACCCACCTGGGGAAGCTTACGGGTGGCACTTTGAAAAGTAGAAAAGCTGCCAACAGGGCAAAGGAATATTGATCAACCAGGACCCCTTCCCCCCCATGGAAGGCATCCCTCTACCGGCCCTGTCTCCCATCCCTGCACCGGATGGTATCGCTTTCTCTGCTGTGCCATCTTCTCCAATTCTTGCAGAATTTTCTGCAGAATACATTCTCTTCTACATTTTGACACAAAATGTCTCATCAGCAACATTCCATAGAAAAAACTGACCCTTGCTCTGTGGGTTCAATAAAACTTCATGAATAAGCAATCTCTTAACTCACCAAAACTCATCAAAAGCAACTCACTAAAAATTATGTAAGAGGGCATAAAAACTTGAATAGACTCTTACAAAGAAAATCCAGGTATTTTACTGGCAGGTTCTACTAATAATTAAAGAATAAATAATACCAACCTTACACAGCAAACAAAAAATGTGTTTTTAAGACTTGCCATGTAAAAGTGGAAGAAAGGAGTATGTGTTTAGTACTAAATCTAACATGGGATTTTACTAAATGTAAAATTCCATTACAGATAAAATTATAAAACTTTATTAAAGAGATAAAATAAGACATAAAGAAGTGAAGAAAAATAATATTTCTAGATAAGGTGGATTAATACAATAAAGATAATAGCTATTTAAGAGCTAATATCTAGTTAAGTGCTTGCTACGTACCAGGTCCTCTTGCAGGTGCTTTAATACACACACACACACCCAGACACACACACATATTTTCACATCAATTTTCTCTAAATTGAGCCAAAAATTCAATATAGGGTTGAAATCATGTCTTACCTCCCCCTACTTAAAAGGAAACATTAGCCTCACCTTTTAAGACAATAATCAGGCTGGGGATGGTGGCTCACGCCTGTAATCCCAGCATTTTGGGAGGCCAAGGCAGGTGGATCCCTTGAGGTCAGGAGTTCAAGAACAGCCTGGCCAACATGGTAAAACCCCACTTCTACTAAAATACAAAAATTATCCCGGTGTGGTGGTGCCTGCCTGTAGTCCCAGCTACTCAGGAGGCTGAGGCAGGAGAATCACTTGAGCCCAGGAGTTGGAGGTTGCAGTGAGCCGAGATCGTGCCATCACACTCTAGCCTGGGCAACAAGAGTGAAACTCCATTTCAAAAAAAAAAAGACACTAATTATTCATAAATCCTTGTGATAATCAAGAAGCCATACTGGTCTATAATTAGTCTAAAAAAGCTTAACACCACACAAGGTGAACAGGGAAAGCTGATTCAAAACACTAACAGTGAAAGTTTAAAATAAAATAAGTGGTGAGGCGCAGTGGCTCACGCCTGTAATCCCAGCACTTTGGGAAGCTGAGGGTCGTGGATAACGAGGTAAGGATATCGAGACCATCATAGCCAACATGGTGAAACTCTGTCTCTGCTAAAAATACAAAAATTAGCTGGCGTGGTGGTAGGCACCTGTAGTCCCAGCTACCCAGGAGGCTGAGACAGGAGAATTGCTTGAATCTGGGAGGCAGAGGTTGCAGTGAGTTGAGATGGCACCACTTCACTCCAGCCTGGGTGACAGAGCAAGACTCCGTCTCAAAAAAAAAAAAATAATAATAATAATACAATAAAATAAGTGTAGAATAATATAAAATTCATGACACTTCAGCCTTGTCCAAATGGCTGTGAAGGGACTTCCTTTTCTTTTTACTAACTTGAGGTTGTTGGTTTATGTTATTTGATTCTGAGCTCTGGTGGGCTGGCTGTGGTAATCACTCTGTCACTTACCACCTGTTAGGGGTCAAATGTTTGTGTCTCCCCAAAGTTCCTTCACTGACACCCTCAGCCCCAGTGTGGGGCCTATGGGAGGTAATTGGGTTAGATAAGGTGGAGCCCTCATGCTGGGATTTGTACCCTTATAAGAAGAGGAAGAAACACAAGAATGCTCTCTCTCTTCATGCAGGCACCAGGAAAGGTCATGTGAGGACATAACGAGAAGTGACCATCTACAACCCTGAAAAGCTACCTCACCAATCTACCAGCACCTCGACCTTGGACTTCCCATCTTCCCAAACTATGAGAAATTAATGTCTGTTGTTTAAGCCACCCAGACTATGGTATTTTGTCATAGCAGCTGGCACTAACTAAGCACACTATCTATGTTATTTCTTCAGTTTTTAGCAGTTCCCTTGGCAACCAATCCATTACAAATAGCTTATAAATACAGGCTGAACTAGTTACAGTATGTCTAACCAGCTAGAGAGAGCAGTACACTGATTACACCTCTGTGTCAATCCAAATGCACAGCTCTCAATCATTTTCACCAAACTGCCAGGGTTCCAGGCTCTCTATTCCCACCTCATCCAGATCTACAATTGATGCATGGAACAGAATGACATAAGAATAGGCTGCAGGCCGGGCATGGTGGCTCATGCCTGTAATCCCAGCAGTTTGGGAGGCCAAGGCGGGTGGATCACCTGAGGTCAGGAGTTCGAAAGGCAGCCTGGCCAACATGGTGAAACCCCATCTCTACTAAAAAAAAAAAAAAAAATTAGCCAGGTGTGGTGGCATATGCCTCTAATCCCAGCTACTCAGGAGGCTGGGGCAGGAGAATCATTTGAACCTGGGAGATGGAGATTGCAGTGAGCCAAGATCGTGCCATTGCACTCCAGCCTTAGCAACAAGAGCAAAACTCCGTCTCAAAAAATAAACAAATAAAAAAGAACAGGCTGCAATTGGTGTCTTTTTCAGACCAGGCAACTCACCTACAAGGTCTTGCTCTTTCCCTCTTTCCATCCAGGAAGGTGTGCGTGTCCCTAGATTTCTGCCTATTTAGCTGGTAAAGAGCCTTGGGGGAAAAACTTGCTCACTGTCGGCGACATAGTGAGTCTACAGAGCAACACCTATATTACTCATGTGACACATGTCAGCCACATATTTACCCATCGCCTTCACATGTCTTCCAATTAAGTCGAGATGGCTATACTCTTCCTCTTCAATAAATTGATGGGCTCAAAACCTGTCATTTATGGAAAAGCACTTCTTCTCCCTACACATACACATTAAAGGCAAAAGCCTTAGGAGGCAAGTGGGTTCAAATCCCAGCTCTGTGTTTTCATGGCAGTGATCTAAGGCTTGGTTTCCTCATTTGTAAAGTGGAATTAAGGACCCCCCCCTCACGGGCTTGTTAAGATAATTACCTGAAGTACTGAATTCAGTGAATTATTGCTTCAGACTTTCGAAAATTGGGAACCATGGGTGGTGGATTTCAGCTTAGACACTTTGCTTGAAAAAACATAAGATGAGAGTTCAGGGAGTGATCTGAGGCTCTCCTCTGAGCCCTGGGACCTTGGACAAAACCAACTTCCATACACTCAAAAAGCTCAGTTGGTGACAAGAGATCCAGATCATCTCATGACAAGCATCTAAGTCTTCTTAATGAGGAAGGACAAGATCCAGCAAACCACGGAACTTGACAACCCAATAGAAGTCCCACAGGCCAAAAGGAAGCCAAGGCCTAAGGTATGCCTTTGGCCAGAAGTGGAAATCCCTTACACCCAAGGAATGTGCCTTCATCTCAATCACACACTTCAGAGGCTGCAGAGTCCATTTGAAAAGCTCTGGAAACTCCAGCATCCTTCTCACCCAGCCCTGAGATACAGCTGTTAAGTCTCCACTAACTCCCTTGTCTGCCTGGTTGGAGAGTTGACAATTCTGAATGAAGATTTGAATGAAAGAAGAAAAGCCCTAAAGATGAGCACATTGTACCACCTTTATACTTGTGGGAATCTTGCTTTTAATTTTCTGCATGTTTTATGCTTTGACATCTTTGAGTCTTGTTGACACTGAAGAAACTACTTCTCCCAGGGCTGACCAATTCCTAGAAATAATAGACTGATGACCTGCAAGTGTGCCTGTAATAGGAATACCAACCCATCCAGAGTCTGCACTCCCAGTCACCTCCTTTATTTGGTGCTTACATGCCGGGCCACTAGTCCCCTGCCCTAGTCAACCCCAGAGCCAAGTACCAGACAACCTGTGTCCCAGAGCCTGCTGAAGTTATTCAAACTAGCCAACCCTAAGCCTGCCACCCCTGCCTTGCTTCTCCTTTCCTGTGGAAACCACGATAAAAGCCCTTGCCCCCATGTTCCCCCTGCTCCCTCTGCCTCCTGAACCACCCTGGTGCTTCTCCACTCGGCCTTGTGTGGTGTGGCGTGCCTCCAATTTCTAAGGAATCTGTAGGTATAAACATCTTCTTTTTTCAGGACAGTCATTTCTATGTCTGCGTGTCTAACCATACCTGATTAAAACAAATCCTAGGTACCCTTAAAACAATACCCTGCATCATCCATTCACGCCCAATCCCAACCCAAACTGCACTTCTATTAAATATTTCTTTTACTGATGTCATCCTCGACTGTAGAAACTATAGCAAGACAGAATGCAGTGAGAAGCCTGAAGGGAAATCAAGCCTGTTGCAGTTCCCCAGATGCCCCCAGGCAGAACACCTGCAGTTGTGGAGTTTGTTTGAGGAAGGCTGCTTGCTAGGCAAAACCAGCTGGCCCATATCTGGAGCCTTGAAGATCAGGCAGTTGTTCTCATAAGTGATGGAGACCAGCACCAGGCGAGGCTCCTGCCGGGCAGTGACCATGTGTCCATCTTCCTTAATCACCAGCCAAAACCTGCAGAGAAACAAACCAGGGCACACTCAGAAAATCCTCCTCCACCTCCCAACAGCTTCCCTCCAGCTTTCTACTTCCTCAAAACTCTCCACCCGCCCCGACTTGGGACCTAACATCATTTTCCAGACAATTATCCAGGTCTGGCCAAATGATTTGAGTCTAAAAGTTGGTGACCCCAAAAAGAGCTTATTTGGCAGAAACAGCTCTGGGAGAGCTTCTGGCTGATGTTTGGCAATCTCCAGTTTCAAAAACGAGAACAGGAGGCTAGCTCAGACACTTTCCCCTCACTGCTTAGGCAACCCTGCTGCCTGTGTGGGGGCTCTGCTGTGGTTAGAAGCTTCTGTAGGTCTGCTATATATGTCTCTGTGGCCCTGGGAGAAGTAAAATAGCTTTCAGGGCCTTTTGTTGTAGAACAAGATGAGGCTGGCCAAGTGAATTGGAGTCTGAGACAAAGGTCTTGCAATGTTGCTGCCTCCAAGAAGAACCAGGCCGGCCTCCGCTCTGTTTAACTTGCTGTGGCATGTGGGGGTCCTACATCAGGAAACCTCCCAAACAGCCTTTCTTTTTCATGCACACATTCTGACATAGAGAACAAAGACTCACAGAAGTACACATTAGATAAGAATCCCACTTATTTCCTAGAGAGCCCACTGTGCTGGCCTTGGTTTTCATACTTTGTATTTCTACGGGATGAGCTGAAGAGTGACGGAAAGCTGGCCAGGCCCAGTTTGTTAGACTTTTACCTACAGCCTAGCATATAGGTTGGGCCTACACCACACAAAACACTGTGTTGCCAAAAAGAAAAAATCTTCCACTCCTAGGAAAAATAAATGTCAATATCACAGTTTGGTTCCTTTAGTTTAGTTGTTTTGTTTCATTTTCTTCATTTTGAGACAGTCTCACTCTGTCAGCCCGGCTGGAGTGCAGTGGCACAATCTTAGCTCACTGCAACCTCCGCCTCCTTGGTTCATGTGATTCTCTTGCCTTAGCCTCTCAGGTAGCTGGGATTACAGGCGTGCACCACCATGCCCAGCTATTTTTGTATTTTTAGTAGAGACGGGGTTTCGCTATGTTGACTGGGCTGGTCTCAAACTCCTGGCCTCAAGTGATCTGCCGCCTCGGCCTCCCAAAGTACTGGGATTACAGGTATGAGCCACTGTGCCCAGCCCAGTATCACTATTTTAGAAAGAAGATAGAATCTGCAAACAAGCGGGTGGGGAAAATGTGGGCACTGGTGAGTAAAAAGTGCCTGAAAGCCAGAGCCTTTCAAATGTGAGGAGGATAAAAAGCACAGCCCCTTCCAGAAGCAGGGATGGCTCCTCCCAGGAAGACATTCCAAAATATGACCAGAGTCATCAGGGAAAGCCTGAGGAGACCTCAGGAGGACATCCGATATCAGAGCACAGGGAGATCCGTCTCTGCCCTGTCCTGACCCTGACAGTCTTGTATCCGCAACTGCCTCATCAGTAGAGTCCTTTCCAGGTGCTGGCTAACCTGTCCCTTCCCTGCAACCACACCGGAAGACAATGGCTGGCAGCCTGTGCCCTGCTAGCTGGCATGATGATGGCGTGGCAGTGTAAAGGCATTCCCGTAACTGTCTTGGCTACCCCCTTCCAAAAAGCTGGCGACACTGGGTAGCAGCAAGTCCCCACCCCTTTGAGGAGACCACCTTTTCCTTTCTAAGTGTATAAATGCATATGTGTATTATTTATTCATATATATATTTATATTTAATTAATTTCGAGAGAGGAGACAGGGTCTCACTCTATCACCCAGGCTCTAGAGTGCAGAAGCATGATCTTAGCTCATGGCAGCCTTGAACTGCTGGGCTTAAGCGATCCTCCTGCCTCAGTCTCCTGAGTAGCTGGGACTACAGGCACACATCACCACGCCCAACTGATTTTTTTATTTTTTGTAGAGATGGGATCCCACTGTGGTCTGGACCTCCTGGCTGGCCTGGAACTCCTGGCTCAATTAATCCTCCCTCCTTGGCCTCCCAAAGTGCTGAGATTATAGATGCGAGCTATCCTGCCTGGTCAAAGATGTCTTTAGATCCCACAGTTCTCTGGTTCACTCAGCCTGGGGCTAGGTTCTGTAAATCAGAGGATGTCTGCCCAGAGAACGGGGCTACAATGAAATAGGCAGGCATCCTCTGATTTAGATGCCTAATAGGGCTGGGCCCTATTGCCTATCTCCAGCCTTGTCCCTTGGTGCACAGTTCTTTGGTTAACTTCACCAAAGCCTTCACCCTTAACTTCCAACATGCCCCATCCCCAGACAAGACTCCCTTTGAGATCTGCACACAGCCAGAGCCATGTTCAAACAGGAGTGGCAAATCTGTTTGCACGTGATTTCTGACATTATTTCTCCATGGGCTGAATCTTCTCATCTCCCATTCATCCCTTACTAATATTGCCCTTCACCGTGGCTCACAGCCTGGCCCGTGGCTTCAGCGTATTGTATAATAACGCAGGCATTAACTGCTGGGGTTAACAGTGGGAAGTAGTCGCTAGAGGTTTCCCACTCATCACTGTCACTGAAAAAGCAAGTAGCAACTTGCCGGGAGTCCAATTTTGGGTCGGGACAATGACAGTAATCATAGGTTAAAAGGTTGCCATTTGTAACATACCCCAACCATCTCATTTCCCTGTCAACCTGGGTAATATTATTTTTCACCTCTTGTGCACAAAATGATGCCCAGCGAACGAATAACTAGTTCTATTCTGCCAGATCTGAAAGAATAGTTAAGTCTGGAGTATGGATTTCATCATGACCAAGTTACTCCAACCTAGTCTGCAACATAAAAGCCGGTGCCTTGAATTTACAGGTAAAACATGAGTATGTGGTAGAGGGATCAGTGTAGAAGCCTGGAGCCCCGATTCCCCAAAAGAGCTACAGTGCCCTGACCAACAGCAACGAGTAAGTGGAGTCCAAAACAATGGGAAAAAATCTCATTTCTCAATTACAAACTGGCCTGGGGAGCAGGAAGGACTGAAAAGTGAGGGAAAGCAGGAACCCCCTACCACTGAGTATGGGATGAGAAAGACAGCAGGAATTGGGCAGGGAACAACATCCTGGATAATAACCTCAAGGGATTCCTTTCTCCAACAGTTAATCATTTGCGCAGAAGAAATAAAAAGCTGGCTTCAGTAAGGGTTTGGACAGGTAAAACTGATCAACTCACATATGGCTGCTAAGGACAGCAGAGATTTCCAAGGTCAGGGAGAACAAGCACGACCTCCCAGCGACTGCACCAGGCAGCCAATGCCAGCATTCTGCTAGGTGGACTTTAACCACTCAATACTTAGCGTGCTCAAGCCAAGTGTTCACAAGTACACTAAGAGCTTTGAATAAAATACCTTCAGAAATTTGAGACCCAGAGCACTTCCAGAGGAAAATCCCAGCTCCTTCAAACAGTTAGTTCCAAAGACACAGTTTCAGAATGGAATTCATTAAATGAGGCCTTTCCCTGAATTCTAGGAACAGTTGTAGTAGTGTTATTAAATTGTCAGGTGGAGAGAAGAGCAGTCATTGAACAGAGTTCTCTCCAGCCAGCCTGCTTTCAAATTGTTAATTATCCTTTGATAAACAAAATGTAGTTAAAATGGGGCTTTAGAGACCATGAAGTTCAACCTCATTCTTTTGCAAATAAGAAAATTTTGTAAAAGTTCGTCTCAAGTCTCCTGATCCTCAGTGCAATCCTTATACTTTTATATCATGCACTGGTTTCATACAAACAGCGTAAGTACTGTACTCACACAGATCTGAGTTCAAATCCCCACAGCATACACTGATTTTCTGGACTTGGATGAGATACTCATTCTTTCTGATACTGTTTCCTTATTTGCATGGCGATAATAATATCCAGCCCACAAGATTGTTATGAGGCTTAAATATGCTAATCTATGCAACAGGATTTAGCTCAGTGTCTGCTGCATTTTACCACTGAATTAACATTAATTTCATTGCCTTTCCCTCCACCCCAGGCTTCACTTCACCCCACCCCATCCTAAGCGTTTATTGTTTAAAACAAGGGAAAGGTAATATAGTTGTATTTATGTTAGGATGCCAGTGGGAGCAAAAAGCACAGGCAAAGGACACATATTTTTTCTATGGTTGCAGTAGTCAGGGCAAAGCAGTGACAAAGAGAAGTGGGAAAGAAACAGTTCTTCAGGTGATCAGAGGAAACACAGATTAGAACTGGAAACTGTCTGTGAAACCAATCCTTCAAGTGAGGAAGGAAGTAGTGCAACCTACTCTGCAACAGTAATTTTCTCTGGACATGCATCGTGAGAACTTGGTTCTCCCAGTTTTTTGGAAGGTGTCCAGTCCCACAGAGCCTGAAGTCTCTCCAGCAATAGGAAGGCTTTTCTTATCCTTCATATTTGAATAAGCTCTAAACATCCTCTTCTTCTTCATGGTCTCAGATAAAACCCTTTAATTATAGCATCAAAATCACCAGGGGGAGATTTAAACATTCTACACGAGTTGGCCCCACTCTTGGTGATTCTGCCTCAGTAGTCCTGGGATGGGAATCTCAAGAAATTATAGTTGAAAAAACTCTCCAGGATAAGAAATTTCGGGTGGTGGTGGGAGAATGAAAATCCTCCCATGATTCATATGGTCTGTGTACACAACACTTCTCTAAGACTCACTGAAGTTTTCCAATACCATGGAAGCCCACATTTCTTTAAGAAGGCAGCAGTCTTCAGAAAACAGTGCATTTGTGTGTGCTGCAGTGAACACAGGGATGCAGATGGCTCTCTGCTAGAGGAATCCTTGAATGATCAACTTGCAAACCTCCCTCCCCTTGGACACAGGGCCACAGCTAAACCATCTCAGCCAGATAAGAAGGCATCTTGGCTGGGCGCAGTGGCTCACACCTGTAATCCCAGCATTTTAGGAGGCCAAGGCAGGTGGATTACCTGAGGTCAGGAGTTTGAGACCAGCCTGGTCAACATGGTGAAACCCCGTTTCTACTAAAAATACAAAAATTAGCCAGGTGTGGTGGTGTACACCTGTAATCCCAGCTACTCGGGAGGCAGAGGCAGGAGAATTGCCTGAACCTGGGAGGTGGAGGTTGCAGTGAGCTGAGATAGCACAACTGAACTCCAGCCTGAGTCACAAAGTGAGATTCTGTCTCAAAAAAAAAAAAAAAAAAGAAGGCATCTTAATCCTAAGTATGAAATGTCTATGTGTCAGACCCAAAAGTCCCAAAGTTCCAGGCTGTGAACAACTCTGCCTATGGGAGAAGGGGGGACACTATTCCCTTAATGGCAAGTAAAGGACCCCTGCCCCAGAGTCCCCATGCCACTTGCTCATCCTTAGTCAAAGTGTATCAGGCCCCCCTGGCACCCCCAGGATTGGAGAAATGTGAGGAACAAGGCCCAGCCACGCCTAAGCCAATGTCCTTGAACAACACTTGGTTTCTTTCTTGCTGCTTTCTAGTGCCAATAGCTTTATTTTTCTACTTTGGTATAATAAGATAGAATCACAAACTTTAGAGCTAAGGAGGCTTAGAGATACAGGTCAGACTCCCTCCTGTTACAGAGGAGGACTCTCTCGTCTAGGGAAGGGCAAGGGATTGCCCCTACATATTTTACCAAAAATAAATCTGACATGAACTTGGCTTTCCCAGCTAAACGACCAACGACTCAACAGTCAGCCCAGAAACTCAGGTGGCAAACCTCTATAGTCCTTCCCAGATAGGTCGGGCCCCACCTGCCTCCCCCTCCTCATCCCAGGCAGGCTCCGCGCTGCCCCGCGCCCGCGCTCGGCTGTACCTGTCCCGCAGGTTGCCACTGCGCAGCCCCATGGCCGTGCACTCCGCCTCGCTCACCGGCACCCCCTTGCAGGATTTCACAGGGTAGATCCAGAGCTTCGCCACGGTGCCCACCTGCTGCAGCCGCCGGCGCCGCCTGGGCCATGCTCGGCGCCAGGCGACAGCCCCCAGCGCCACCGCGGCCAGTCCCAGCACGGCCACCCCAAGCCACCTGGGCCGGGCCTGGGCTGGGAGGCCGAGGCGGGCCAGTGCGGAGGAACTGGAGGCGCCCATGGCAGAACCAGGGCGGGCGCGGACCTGTGCACAGACCCGGCAGCAACCGGAGCCCGGGAGGACTAGGAGGCCCTTAACGATCCGGGAGAACGAGGAGGCCCTTAAGGATCCAGGCGGGTGGGAGGAGTCAAAGTTGACCCAAACACTGGCCCTCTCACCCTTTCACCGCCGAGATGGCAGAGCGGTTCCGCGGAGAGCGGGAATGCCTTAATGCGGTGACAAAGCCTGCGCGGTAATGGGGGAAGACAGGAAGAGAATCACTGGGATACCCTGGGCGCCGTGGGAACGACGACGTCCAAAGCAAGCGAGCTCCGGGGTGGTCAGTGTCTCCTCCCTCTTCCCCGCCCCTACACCACGACAGTTACCCGTGCAGCGTGACCTTTAGCGCCAGCACTCTGCCACCCCCTTCTCTGCTAATATTGCGCGTTTTCTCGCACGACAAGATCACCGCAGAACGTGAAGGCGGGTTGCAGAACGGAGGATTTACAAACATTTGGGAACGACTTTTTCTGGCAGGTCGCTGTGAGAACTGCAGGACTTTCTGCACACAAAGACAGTCTAAAACTCTGCACTCAAAGACGAGGAACTCTAGCGTGGCTTATAGGAGTATGACTCAAGGTCCTCCACTCTTCCGCTGCCCTCTAACCTCGACCCCAGTAAAATGTCTTCCCGAGAAAACTCAAGGCAGCCAGGAGAATTTTCCGTTTATTCTAGCCAACACCCGATGGTGAGGCCTCTGACCTCCCTTTTTTAGTGTATTTTCTTAAAAGGGCTTACAACTGTGAATCCTTTCTCTGTTGTTTTGAGATGTGTATGTATCGCCTACACCTCAGAAGTGTCTTTCTCAAGGAGCTGAAAGCCATTGCTTTGAAATGCAATCATGGGGAGGATAGGCCTCTGTCCCCCAGTCTCTGTGGGATGATAGAGTCCCAGCTTCATAACTGCCAGCTCCAGGCACAGCTGTCCGGTCATTGATACTGACCACCCCTTCGTGATTTTTCACTTGAGCCCCTGCTAGCTTCCCCCGCCCTACTCTCTCCTTCACCCTTTAAAACGCCCAATCTCCTCTGCACAAATGAGAATGAGCAGCTTTTTCTCCTACTGTAAGTAGTTACTGAGTAAAATCTGTTTTCATGCTTTAACTAATGTCCGGCTTTTGTTAATCTTTAACAACTCCATTCAAGCAAGCTGTTGGGTTAACAGTGGATTTTCTTAGACAAATTAAGTTTTGAAGTCTTTCAAGTTTTTTGTGGTTGTTTTTGCTTTTCAAAAGTTTGTCCCTTAAACTGTGGCACAGTTCTAGGAAAGCTTAAGGAGGCCAACCAGTGGGCCACCTACCAAATCTGGGCTGGCCACCCCCTGGGAAAGGGGTGCCCTCTGGAGTGTGGGAAGAGACTCTGGGAGGGATGGAGAACCAGGGGAGCCAGGCTCCCTTTACTGTTCCTTGTGAAAAGTGAAAGACAAAAAGGGCCTGAATCTCTCCCCACCCAGGGAAAAGCCTCAGGCCAGCAGAATTAGTCCCTCAATCCCCATATATTTACATCACGCTTGGCAGCTGAGACTTACAGATTTGTTTTTTAAGCAAGGTGTGGTGAATGCGCTGTGTGTACACTTGGAGCTGACCCCCTTTGCCTCTCCCAGCTCCTGAGGAGGGTCAGAGCCCTCGCTGCCCACAAGCCTGCTGTCAGAGTGAGGGGCTTACAAAGCCATCGCCTCGCTGTATGTCAGCTCCCAGACAGGGCAAATGTCTTATTGATTAATCGTCTGTTTCTTTCACCACATAGGTATTGATCATTCACCAGGCTTTGTCCTAGATTGGCACTGGGGATTTAAAGTTTAGAAGAAGCTGCCCCTCCATCCAGTTCACTGACTCCCTGGAAGACTGACACGTCCCCCTGCAGGTCTAGAGGATAATGGCAGAAGAGAAGCAAGGTCAAGATACAGAGGAAGCAGAGGCAAAAGAGCAGCTGAATCTCAGCACAGTGCTGTTTTCAGAGCAGAGAGCTTTGGAGCTGAGACTTGAACATGAGGAGGGGCTTGGAGATGGGTAGAGGAGAGGATTCTGGGTAAAAGAAGCAGCATGTGCAATAGCCTAAAAAAAATAGAAAGAACAAGACAGTGTGGCATGTTTGGGCAACCACCAGCAATCCAGCTGTATTAGGATGTACCTGTACATGCAGCAGGTGGCGGAAGCTGAGGCAGGACAGGTGTGCAGAAATCAGATCAACGTGCATCTTATCTCTTCTTAATGCGGAGACACCTCAGAATTCTGAACAGCAGTCTGGCATGATAAGACTTGGGTGCTAGGAAGGCCACTCTGGCTGCTCTGAGAAAGAATAACACCACAGATGGTAAGATGAGTTGCAAATGCCCTAGTTCAGGCTGATGTAATTCCAAATCAAGGAAAAATAACAGTGGGGCTGGAGATAGACATGTGGTTAGGAGAGATGGTCAGGGGACAGAATTAACAAGAGATAGTGATGACAGAACACAGAGCCAGAGAGAGAGGAAGAGCCCACAGGGTCTCCCAGCTCTGTGGCATAAAAGTCTGGGGTGGGGTGGGGGTACCGTTCTCAGAGATTAAGAATTCAAGAGAAAAGATAGTCTGGGAAAAAAGATGGAGAGCCTGTTGTAGACAGTGAGTGGGAGGTATCTATGGGGCATCAAAGAGAAAATAGTTACCTAGATAGATGGGTAACTTGTCCTTTCCATGCTTCCACCTCCTCATGCGCAAAATGATGGGGATAGATAGCAAGTGAGGAACTTTGCCATGGTGAGTGCTGCCGAGTCTTTGCTGTCTTCACCAGCCATTACCTATCACAGCCTGCCCTGTTTGAAGATTCACCAATGCTGGGGTTGGGGGTGCCTTCAAGGAAGCAGGGAAATTCCTTATCAATAATGTGTGCATTTGCAGCCCAGCATCTTCATTTGTAGAATTAGTGAGGGGTGATGAGAGGCTGTATTAGTCCATTCTCGTACTGCTATAATGAAATACTCGAAACTGGGTCATTTATAAAGAAAAAAGGTTTAATTGGCTCATGGCTCTGCAGGCTGTATAGGAAGAATGGCGGCGTCTGCTTCTGGGAGACCTCAGGGAGCTTTTACTCACGGTGGAAGGCAAAGCAGCAGTGGATGTCTTACATGGTAGGAGCAGGACCCAGAGAGAGGGAGAGGTTCCACATGCTTTTAAATAGCCAGATCTCAGGAGAACTCACTCTCAGGATGACAGCCCCAAGGGGAATGGTATTAAACCATGAGAAACCACCCCCATGATCCAATCACCTCCCACCAGGCCTCAACTCCAACACTGAGGTTACAATTGAACATGAGATTTGGGTGGGGACACAGATCCAAACCATATCAAAGATTGAGGATTCATTAGTCTAATTGGCTATTTGCATATCTTTTTTTCCCTTCTGATTTGAATCACCTTATCTATTTTTTTGGTTAATTTATAAGATCCTTTTGTAAATTAAGAAAATTACCCTTTAGCCATGCCTTCCCAAGTCATAACTTTTTTCCCTAGTTTGTCATATTTTGGCAACTTCTGCTTAGGTAGAATCTCTCTTTCTAGTGAATAAGACATCAGTGTCTGCCTAGAGGCACTGATATAGATAAAGAAAATTCTGTCAATTAAAATATAAACCAAGAAACCAGAGAAAAAAAGAAGCCTAAAACCCAAATATTGCCTTGCCCAGCCAGGCCATCTTCAGGAAGGTGAGTACTCAGCAGCCAATGGAAGTGTTCATTAGGGTCATGCAGCAGTTTGTCTTTCCTGAGGAGATGAGCACATCAGATTATCAGGCTGTGAGGATAGTCAACCTTCAACTCATATAAAAAATCTCATGACTCAGGCTAAGCTAAAATATTGTAATAACCTCAACATCTCAATGCTCTTACAAAATAAAAGTTTATTTCTCACTTACATCCTAGTTTGATGCAGGCCAAACATTAATCAAAGGTCCCCTTAGGCCAGGCTCAGTGGTACACACCTATAATCCTAGTGCTTTAGGCAACTGAGGCAGGAAGATCACTTGAGCCCAGGAGTTCAAGACCAGCCTGGGCAACACAATGAGACCCTGTTTCTACAAAAAATTAAAACAAAACAAAAGAGAGAACGAGTCAGGCATGGTAGTGCATGCTTATAATACTAGCTACTCTGGACACTGAGGCAGAAGAGCCACTTAAACTCAGGAGTTTGAATGGATATTAAGCATATACATAGTGGAAGAAGAACCATGGCTAGGAAGTCAAAGTGCCTGAATGACTATGAAAATCCAGCCACATGACCAGGGTTCAAAGCACCAGATTACAAACTCAAGCTTGATAGTCAGTACGTTCAGCTTTGAAAGGAAGATGGCATTGGATCTCTCACCTACTGTCCCTTCAACGCATAAACCAAGTGGTAGGGACAGAGCAAGATGGCTGATTAGAGGCCTCCACTGATCATCCTCCATGCAGGGACACCAATTTAACGACTATCTATATTACAAAGTATCTTCCTAAGAACAAAAATCAGGTGAGCAATCAAAGTACCTGATTTTAACTTCATATCACTGAAAGAGGCACTGAAGAGGGTCGGAAAGATAGCCTTGAATTGCCAATACCACCCTCCCCAATCTCCCAGCAGTGGCCAAGACAGAATCTGTGCTTTGGGGGAGGGAGAGCACAGCAATTGTGGAACTTTACACTAGGGAGCACACTAATTCTGGTAATTCTGTGCCTCTTGCAGACTTGTAGAGGTACTTCCTTGGTGGTCTTGGATAAGATTTTAAAGAATCCTCTGGTTACCAGGCAGAGATTCTTGTTCTCTTCTCTTATATTCTCCCAAACAAATGGAGTTTCTCTCTCTCTGTGCTGAGCTGCTTGGAGTTGGGGGAGGGGTGATACCATCCCCCCATAGGACTTTGCTGGGCCACACCTGAAGCCAGCGCAGCACTAGGTCTTGCCCTAGGCCTGCTGTGACCACTATCTGGCTCCTGCCTATGTTTACTCAAGGC